TGTCTTCCTCCTCCATGGAACGGCTTCTTCACCATTCTGTTCAAGGGGCTATTTGAGCGAAGTTCTGGTTCTGATGGGGCATTAAATTGTTCATGACCATTCTCTATGGTCTATACAATGGCATAAACCTCGACTACAGCTCGGTTCTCTGGCAACAACTCATTCAGAGCCTTGCTTCCTCCTCTCGCCATACTGAAGTGTCCTATGCCATATTTTGGACACTGATCACCAAGTGGGCAATGGATAAGCTTCATGTTCCTACTGTTTCCGATTCCATCCTCTCCTCCATCAGTTTCTTCCACACCACCAAGATCATCGTCACTGATCCGACCAAATTTTCTTTCATCGGATCCATTCCGGATTCCATGTCCGCTGGGGTGTCCAAGGAGAGTGTTATCATGAAGGCCTACATCTGCTAGAGGGAAGAAACCCGAGAAAGGGAAGTTTAAGAAAGCAACAAAGGGAGCAAAGGGTCCTTCTCCTAAGAAGCGAAAACCCTCAAAGACAGATCTTCCCCCCCCAGTGAAGAAGAAGAAAACTCAGCCGAAGAGGAAACTTATTATCTCTTCTTCATCAAGCGATTCATAGGATAACCAATCTGACTCAGACGAGTCAGCTAGAGGCGATACTCCTCCTCACTCACCTACACATGAGGTACCGGTCTGATCAAAACCTCCTTCTCCTTCTCCTATCACTGTACCCTCCATTCCCACCATAACCTCCTCCATTTCCATTCCCTCCATATCTAACCCTATTTCTATTCCCCCAAAACTACCTCTACTACCATTCCACCCACAACTACTTCTATACCACCACCAATCTTCACTGAAGCCACCCAAACCACCACCAGTGAGATTCCAACCAACGTATCTGATACGGGGGTTCGAACTTCACAACCCGTACCTACTTCCGTACCCGAACCCACTTCCCCTACCGAACCATCCGCTACACCCTTATCTCCCACTCCCTCTGCTGAAACCGAAACCTTTCTGGGAGGGGAGGATATGATCTTTGATTCCATCTACTACAGCCCCTACCAAGTCCAAAGTAGTGATGATGATGATGCTCCAGTTACCAAAAAGCACATCAGGGAACTCCACGAGAAGATTGATAATCTTGTGGCTTCTTCCTCTACCTCAAAATCTCACATTTCGGAGGCTGCCATTCAGGGGATGGTGGAATCTCTCACTAAAACACATGAAGCCTCCATTAGCTCAGTTGCTGCTGCCATTGACAAATCTACAAAGGCTAGTGCTGCAGCGACCGAAAAAGTCGAAAAACTATTTCAAGATGTTCAGATATGGCTGGAGTCTTTGCAAGCGGCATCCGAAACCAATAGCAAGAAGATTCGCACGGTTATGGGGAAGCTGGTCCATTCTCTAGAAATAGAAAAAGACCACTTTTCCAGCTTCCATCAGAACCTCAAAGAAGACAATCAGTCGTTTCAGTCTTCGGTTGCGGATCGTCTTCTCAACTTTCAAGCAACTCTTGCCGCCGATTCTTCTGCATACGATGAGCTTGCTCGTAAATCTTCCAAGCCTCATCTTGCAACTCATCAGCTCTCCCAAGCCGAGAAGGAGATCGATTCTCTTCGGTCTGAGAAAGTTGTGGTTACGAGTTGTGTTTCGGATGTTCATGGGGGCTCTATCCAACATCATCGAAGCCCATGATCCGATTCACTACTAGAAAAAAAGCCTTTTACGACGCTCATTGCGCGTCGTAAAAGGCTCAGACGACACGCAGATGCGCGTCAAGGAAGTCCCTGTCATAAAGAGAGATGACACGCTTTTGCGCGTCGTCTATAAACGACGCGCATTTACGACGCTCATTTACGACGCACATTTACGACGCGCGTTTACGACACGCAATGCGTATCAAGGAAGGCCCTGTCATAAAGGAAGACAACGCACATTTGCGTGGCGTAACCTTACGACGCGCGTGTTTATGACACGCAATGCGTATCAAAGAAGCCCCTGTCAAGAAAGGTCATGTCATAAATGAAGATGACACACATTTTTGCGTATCGTAATTTTAAATGTTTTAAAAAAAGTATTATTTATAGATTTGCTAATTTTCAAATTAAATTTGCATTTAATGTCTCATAACAAAAAATAAAATACTATACAAAAAATACAATCCATTGCATAAAATTTAATGTCATACAAATAGTCAATCCATGGAAAGATAAAACAAATCAATAGAAATTGTTTTCTCCCTATACATGATTATCACATACTAAATAAGAAACTTTATTTCATATTCATAAATATGATTACATTATTCATTAAAAAAACATATACCTACATCTTCGCCTAAAATGTTATTACATGATGCAAGTTGGCCACTTCATTGATGGATCACCAAGAGGAAGACCAACAACTGCCCTAAAATGTTCCATGATGTGTCCATACTCATGTCCTGTAACTTTAAACATTTAATAAAGTAAAATACCTCCTAAAAATAAAATTGCACAAGAAACAAGACATCATAATGAGAAATTACTAGCATGAATGGAAGAAGTACACTATAAATTTGTTTTACCAAGAGTGGCATGGACGATCAGGTGCTACAAGATTATCCAAGCTGCCAAACAAAAGCCAAAACACTGGAAAAAGTTGACATAGAAAAATGTAGCATGCTTCTTTTGAAGGATTTGGCAGTGCCTGCAGATAGCTCAGAGGCAAAATCTTGACATAGAAAAATGTAGCATGCTTCTTTTGAAGTGTGACATAGCTTAGGGGCAAAAAGGTAATTTGATAGAGAAACATGATTATCTTACCATGTATGAGCAGAAGGCAAACGATAAGAGCTTCCATAAACTTTGTGAATCTGGATGGTAGTGCTACTCTTTGGAGTAGCTTGAAATCCATTCCCAAATCCAGGCGTCACCTCCTTTTAGACAACCAATAAACATGTTCGTATCAGAAACAACTAATAAACCATGTTAATTCTTCAAGAAAATTTAAATAAATACACAAAGTATTTGGACAATTTTATATAAAATGTAGCTATTTGGAATTCCGACAGCCATGCAAGCTCTCTTACAAAGGAGGTTACTCATTTCTAGAAGGGACCTTGAAGATTCCTCCTTGTCTTACAGATAAAGGAAATGTAAGAAAAAAAATTAAGCCTTACAAAGTATATGGACAATTTTATACAAAATTCTATTGAAACAGATAGAAACTTGGGAGTATTTATATTAGATCATATCCTAAGAAGGCCCATAAACAAGTGATATGCTTAAACAATCCTTAATTGTTTTCTAGAGTGTGGTATTTTGTTATTAACATGGAAGGCCCATAAACATCTATTATACATGTCAAGTCTATCTGTTCCACCCAACAGCAACAAATTTGGGACAGGAGATGACAAAAAAATTTCCGAGAGGCCTTCATACCTGAAATTTTTTTTATTTACAAAAATAGAAAGTTAAACATAATAAAAAAATTCCTTCAGTGACTACGAATATCAAAGAGTTAATTTTTACCATCCTCTCCAATATTGTTTTGTTTCCTCCAATCGTGCTCTATGTTGATAGTTGTACATACAACAGCAAGATCAATCAATTTGCACAAAAGGAATTCAATATATTTGTAAAAATATTTACAAGGTAGTTGAATTACTAATCTATTAACTTTTGTTTCTAAATTCCAACAAATAATTTACAAGAATCAAGATATGTTGTATAAAAATTAGGAATGACAAAAGAAAAAAGAAATTAGTTTTCAAAAAATAAGAAACCTAAAAACTTACCACTGCTGTGAGTCATCATACTTTATAGTCCCGGGAATCGATATTCGAGCAGAGTCGATGTTTCTTAAAGGGCCTGATCTCACATTCCACTCAATCTATAACTATTTACAAATTACAATTCAAATTTTATATATAAAAAAATTAACAGTTTTCTACATTATATAGATATATGAAATAAGTGAAGTCAAAAGGCTGATTTTACAGAAAGGGTAAAATGGTCATTCACTAACATCCAGACGATTAATCTTAACACAATCATAGGAGAAATTTGTACCTTCATCATTCGACCTGCAATCTACAATTTTTCATTTAAACTCTATGCAGCTCTAGCATCTTCAAGGCGTGCAAACTGAATAGTAACACAAAATTTATATATATGATGGTCAAAGTTGACAAAATAGCATTTTTCACTTGCCATGGGAATCGGTCGGCTATGATTCGGATCAGAGGCCTGGAATCATCAAGGTAGAAATTAAATCAAATATGATGCCACATCACTGTTAAGTCTATAGTCAAAAGTTAAAAAAGGTCAAATAAGTTATATTTTACCTTATTTCATATAAATGAAACATGGGTGGCAAAACCTATTCAAAAAAACGTTTAAAGTACCTAGGTGGAACAAACTTGAGACTTGGTTACTATATTATGACATTAACCCCTTTATGTAGAAATAAAGTTGGCACAACCAAAAGAAGGGTAGTATTATACTATTATAGATCATAAAAAGTATATCAACAAACAAAAAAATGACATGTGAATATGTGATGGCTAAAGAAAACAAGAAAACATTGTATTTTGCTGTTTGGTATATTAAGCTTTGTTTATATGTAAAGTTCAATAAATAAGAATCTACTACTAATTCTATGAACATCCACGTAGCTGTAAGCCTGTAATTGCAGAATAAGTAGATAAAAGAAGAAGATGAATCCAGAAACATAAGCAAACAAAGGAACACAGTTTGGCTTAAGAGATGGATATGAAGATTTTGACAGAATAGATTCCAAATTGTTAGATATATATTATATTTTTAACCTGCATATTAAATGCCACTATCTGAGCTCCATGCATCCACCCAATCAGTGGGTTGTAGTTAGATGAGTCAACTCGTATCCCTTTAGGATACACCCTCTGAACATTCCTCTGGGTAAACCTATAGCAAGCTAGTTTTTAGCAAGTTTTCAATTTGAAAATGTTTATAAAAAATTAGGCAATACCTGACAATTGGAGAAGAGTCATTGAAGAAGATAATGAATTTGGAAACTATTCATAGTGGAGACTATTTACTTCTTGCTGGTATATATGCATCAGTTGGTAGATTAGAAGATGCATTTAGGGTAAGAAGAGAGATGAAAGAAAAGGGTGTTATTAAAAAGACTCCAGGTTGTAGCTCAATTGAAGTCAATGGTGTCATTCATGAGTTTGTTGCTGAAGATGATGTGAATTTTGAGTCTGAGAAAATATATGCAGCTACTGAAAAGATGATGAAGAAGATAAAGTTGGTTGGTTATGTGATGAATATAGAAGATGCAAGATTGGAGGCAGATAAATATCATAAAGAAAAATCGGTTTTTCATCATAGTGAGAAATTGGCAATGATTCCTAACCCGTTTTGAATTATAAAACTTTTAATGACAAATGATCTCTATTAAATCCTATAATTAATTTAATTTCTAATGTTCTACAGAAAACTTGGTGTTAACAAAAGATCAAAGAACACTAAAACTTGTAGATTTTGGATTAGCAAGAGAAGAGACAGTTACAGAGATGATGATAGCTGAAACAGGGACATATCGTTGGATGGCTCCAGAGGTAATTTTTTTAATCTTTTTTTTCTTTTTTTATCAAAGATAAAGATTTTTAAATGTTTCCTTTTTAATAGTTATATGGCACTGTGACACTAAGGCAAGGACGTGATGAAAAAACGAAACCATGCAACAGAACTTGCAAGACTCCCACATGTGAGATGAGGGAACTACAAACAAAACCATGCACTAAGAGCTCCAGCATAAGAAACGCCAAACAAAAACCATGGATTTTCAAAATAAACCTGATAATTAAAAAAAAAGAATGTTACTGGTTAGAAAGGGAAGCTTTCTCCAATCTGGATTTAAACAAAGTGGCATTAGAAATATTGACACATGGAGATTAATTATAAATTCATAAATTCAAAAAAAGAATGTTACTGGCTAGAAAAGGAAGCTTTCTCCAATCTGTGACATCATTAGATGACTCCTCAATAGACTGCTCTTTCTGCATTAGATCCAATTCAATTTCAGCCTCTTCAATTTCCTGCCACACATCAATCAATACCTCTTATTATTTTATTTTATTTTTATTTTATAAAACAAAATATTGTAATGTTAGAACTTACCATAAGTTTTTCATCAGTGTTTTTCGAAAAGAAATCAAAGTATGATTTGTTCCATGTTCTCTCCAACTTCCAGAATGGCAGCCATAACCAAGGAATTGCTAACAATTCTATTTCACAGGGAAAAATACATGAAATGTGGGATGGGATGCTAGGTTGATTCATACCCTTGATACAGTTAATTTTATCCTTCATTGTCCCACCTTGCAACTATAAAGAAGCATAAATAATAGTTTAGTAGTAAATTTGTACACATTTATAAAAGTTTAGTGTTGAGAATTGTTAAGAATCATTATTATTTAGGAAAAGAAAAGAAACAGGATAAGTTTTTTTAAATACTATTATTATTTATCCATTCCAGAGAACACTTAATCTGTATGCTATCATACTTAAGAAAGTGAATGACCATTTTACCCTTGTATTTGCAAAACTACTAAATCTAATAGAAACATGGGTAGAACGGGAAAATGCAACATCTTAATTCATAGAGTGAGTGACACCCATTACGACATTGCTAAAGAAAGTAAATGAAGTGTCTGAATGTGATTAAATGACCATTTTACCCTTGCATTCATAAAACAATAGTGCTACTATTAGCTACATGATGCTAAATGTATTCAAGTAAAAAAGAAACGGGCATTTATAAAAGAATAGTGCTACTATTATCTACATTATCAAAATTCAATTGTAAACTCAAAATTAAAAAAATGTTCAAATCAGATAGGGCATGATTTACATGAATATACACGAAGAAGAAAGATAGAGAATGCGGAAACCATACCATGAGCTCCTGACCACCAATACTTAATTTACTCAGAAGCCTTAAAGCACACAGAACTACTTCAACATTCCTAATTTCACAAAAACCAAAGCCCTTCAAAGCCCCAGTAGTGGGATCTGGTACATGTTTCCAACTTTTAACAGGCCCACAGAGCTTCAGAAGAGATAAATGTGTAAAAAGTCCAAGAACATTGGGCAATAAGATCTATTTCCAGTAAAGATGTGAGAAAAAGAGGAACTTACCTAAAAAAAGGGAGAGCATGAACTCATTGTCCACTGATGATGCTATCTTGCCAACATAAACTGTGGTCATTGGCTTTTCAGCTGGAGTTATTGTATTGTTGGGTCGCCTAATGATTGTAGGGACCACTGGACCCCGCATAGCCATCATTGGTGGGCGTGCTAATGATGGAATGACTCCCACTACTCCAAGTGGCCTTTGAGGATATGCTGGTTGCAACATTTGTGAATATGGAGAGGCATAACGGAGAATCCCTGCAAAAATAAGACAAAAATACTATTACAAAAAAGAGAGATCAAATAGTGAAAGTATCACAGCAAAATTCAAACTTATCGCACATATTTTCATCATTGACATATATAACTATATACCAAAAACTCAGATCTGATGTGAAGTTAAAAAAAGGAAATTTTAACTGAATTGAAAATTAAAACCTGAGGTTCTGTAATGAAGCTAATGCTCTGTTCCATGGAAGGCTCGTGGAAGGTCAATGAATGATTTGATTGTTCCACTTCCATAACTCTCTGTCTCTAGCTGAACCACGAGTTTAAAACAAAATTTTTTGGGGAAATTCAAGAAGTGATCATTTGATATCAACAAAAGAACCCTAGCTTTAGTTTACTCTCTACTTTACTAGATACATGTAGAGAAAGATTGGGTGTGCAATGGATTCCAAGATTTAACTAACTTACTGATTATAATAATATATATTTTGGTTCAAACATTTAGTCAAACACCTGGTGTGCATAAAAAAATCAGGTACTTATATAATAAAATATCAATAATTCCATGAAAAGATTTGAGAAAGGGTAGAAGGGCACAAAAATCGTCCAAAAAGAAGGACCGGTTGTACATGAAATAGGTAACTGTGGTTGAAAAAAGAAGAATTACCTTTGTAATATGCCTACTATGCAAATGAAATACACTCCTTTAATTTTGAAGTCTCCAGAATCGACATGAGGTTAAGATGACCTGAAGCAACCAGGAAACTATCATACTACATGATGGAGGCATGCAGAAGTAAGCAGGATGGCAACATCGGAAGACACGACACTGCCAACAAGGAGAACCCATAGAAGGGAAGAGACGAGAAAAGGGCACTGTATCGTTCTTCTGCTTGTTTCTGTTGTATAAGTAAAATCAAGATTGATAGAAGAATATAAAAAATTGGGATGAGAGAAGAAAGAAAACATACCTTAATCCGTACGAGGTGGGTTGAATCCGAACTCCTCAGACTTTGTAGAGAGAACTCATGTAGTAATGCCCTAAATCACCGGTTCTCTAAGAGTAAGAAAATTAGTGTGATTCTGATGGGAACCTTAGATTTCTGTCGATTCTTTCAAGTTTCAATCAAAAAATGAGAAAGAGTTAGGGAAATCAAGAATGGAATGCTCACGATCATTGGGAAGATGAAAGATAGAAAGAAGGTAGAAAAGAAGAAGGCGGGTCTTCAAAATTTTGGAGATTTCATTTCCCCCCGTTAATAGGAGAAGCGCGTTTCATTAAAATTATAAAGCGACAGTCACAGAGGACGCGCGATTAAAATAAAGCACGCTCCGTGTTTTTTTAATTTTTTCTTGGGACACTAATTTAAGGGCACGCAATAGTGCGTGACTTAAATCCTTAAAAATTTTGAAGAGATGACACTCTTTTAAGGTCACTCTTATTTGCGTAACATAAATCATTGCGTGTCGTGGTTTGCGCGTCATAAAAGGGTCTTTTTCTTGTAGTGATTCTTAACTACTCGGTGAGGCGCACTCTTGCAGAGAAGCTTGCTCCTGCCCTTGCCTTGATTAGCCGCATTGAAGGGATTCCTAAGCAGGAGGAACATCCGAAACAAGGGGGAGAAGGGAAGCCCACAGCTCAATCAAAACCCCCTCCGATTTCCAAAACTCAATCACTCCCAGTTTCTTCACTAGTTCCTCCGAGAGCACCCAAATCAACAACTGTTCCTGCATCAGGTTTGAGTGCTCAAAGCAAAGACAAACAAATCATCGATGATAGTGATGAAAGTGAGGACCAAGAATCGATTGCCAGCCTTCTGAAGAAACAGGGTAGAGAGAAGGAGCTTGATGAAAATGCTCGTATTGCTAGAGAGGCTGAAGCCAAAGAGAGGAAGATAAAGGAGGCTCATGATCTCCTTGAAAGCAGAAAAACTCTATTTCCTCCTTGGACTCTTAAAGAGCTTGTTAAACAAGCTATCGAGTCCCCCTGCACTCTTTGGCTTGAACCAGTGATCTCCTTGGATCTAGTTAATTCGGTGGATTCCCAATTTGACATGCCCTTGAACAGAAAAGCTTTTATCTTCCATGCATTCGCCCACATAGCTGAAGTTCCTCATCCTCACCCGAAGGTTGATAGGGAGCTTGTAGACTTCTATCTGAGGATAGCTCAACCTCAGTATCAGACGTGGAGCGCACAAAAGATCATCAACGTTCGGGTTCTCAAACTCGTTCGGGAGGGTAACTTCACCAATGTCAGATTCAAGGTCTTAAGGGGATCCGACAAAACCGAGCATTCCATCTCTCTAGCTGATCTTCCCAATTTAAATCCTCATGACTGGATAATTTTGCACAATATTCTTCTTGTTAATGAAGTGGAATATGGTTCGATCATAGATCATTTCAAGAGAATGTTGGTGTGTTATATTTTGGAGGTTGCCAAGCTGGATCAAGAAGTTGAAAATGTTCTTAGGAAGAAGCCCACTATCACTCCAGTCGGTTCTGCAAGTGATTTAAACAGAATGCAGATGGGAAAGATTGATCCAAAACGACACTCAGTCATGTTCACAAGGGCAGAAGGTCAGAAATGCTTATTTGCTTTGGCTGACAAACATCTTTACACCACTTCCTGCTTGGAGCATGTTCTGGGTTTCATCAATCGATGCAAACAGAACTCGGAGAGTGATAAGCAATACTTCAACGATATGATCAATTGGTACATTCACTTCCGACAAACACTTCTTGCTATAATTCCCTGCCTATTCAAAACTGTGAAGAAAGCCAGTGCCGCAGGTGCAAGCAAGCTGGAGTGAGGTCTCGCCCCTATTGACGCAAAGGGGGGAGATTGTTGGGTATTTGGTGTTGCGTCTTGGGCTCGTCTCTTAGCCCCATTTTGTATCCGGTATGGGCCTGTCCATCCGTGACTTCTTTGTTAGGGTTTTTGTATTAATAGATGCTTGCATGCATCTTTTCGATGACTGATAGATTGTTTTTTTACGTGTTATTTAGAAGATCTCTTTTGTAACCCTAAAATCCTCTACAACGGAAGTTCTTAATCGAGCTCTGCTGAGGATTGAGTGTTCTAATCATTCGACTCATTCAGATCCATACTTGAGTATTGTTTCATTGTTTTACATTCTTTATCTACCTGTTACAAAGATCTAATCGATCAAAGAGTTTGTAAATCTCATCAATAACCTTTGTATTTGTAGCCTTTGGTTGTATGAGTTTGGCTTTTGTGAGTAATAGGTACTCCAAATCTTAATCTTATCATTTCCTATTGTTTTTGAGGATCTTATAGCATAAAAATGGGATCTTACTATTGGATTAGATGTATAAGCCCATAACTATTATTGGTATGTATTCGACCCGAGAGTAGCATGGTCCATTTGGGTTGCACTTCACTGGAACAATTTATATGGATAGTCATTTGAGAATAGTATGTTTATGATTTATATTAATATATTATAAGTTCTAATATATTAATACAGAATCATATTATTTAATTAGTATTGATCAAGAATTAACTTAGAATTAATTTAGTGATCAAAAGAAACTAATAAAATATGGACTCTTATAGATAGTATGGGCCAAGTTCATTTAGGTTGGGCTATGCTTGCATGGATAGTCCATGGAGCTTTTAACCCATGGATCCTATGGAAATGAAAGGTCATGGGTATTAGGGTTTACATGAATGAAACCCTAACCCTCCATACTATATAAAGAGGTATTTGACACATGAAATGGCACTAGTGTGTGAGTAAACAAGACTGGGCCAATTTCTAGTGTGCTTACTATTCACTCAAGTTTTCCAAGGTGTTTTTGGTGATTTGTGATTCGACCTGAGGGTTCCACACTATTAGGGATAAGCTCTTAAAGTTTGAGACTTCAAGCTACATCAAAAGGTATGTCATCTAACTAGGCTTTTGTAGTATAGTTGCTTCATATTATGCTAGTTAGGATGAAACCTTGGAATATTGAATATTTGCATGTATAATTGAGAAAACATAGATCCAAGGTTTATAGGATTGCATGTATACCATAAGAGTGTTAGAATGATCAAAACCCATAAGTGGTATTAGAGCCTAGGCTTGTATTCAATTATACTTGATGCTATTTGCAAGAAAAATCGTTTTTTTGGAATTTGCGAGTTTACCACGAGGTGGTAAAATTTACCACGACGTGGTGACTGTTCAGTGAAAAAATCAACTTTTTGGCCTGTTTTGGATTAGAATCATTACCACAAAGTGTTTTTGTTCATAAAACTTGATTATGATGTTATGGTAATGTTTATTCTCATCCAAATAAATGATAATTGTCCAAGTTTCAAGACTTGTTTTGGTTTATGTGATGAGCTAAGTTCTTGAAAATTGTTGATATGAATTATCTTCACTTATGAGTTTGATCTAGTTCCTAGAAAAATTACTTGATTATTGTGTTAATTGGTAATTTTATCATAATGGTTTTTATGAACTCCATAACTTGTCCTGATGTTATGGAAAATGAAGAGTTTTTTCTTTAAAGTGTCATTAAAAGTCATAGGTTATAAAAATGGAAGAGTCTCTAATTTTAATGTCATCATAAAATGTTTTATATGTCTTCCATAACTTGTCTTCAAGTTATGGAACTTGAAAAGTTTTTCATAAAAACCATATTAAACTCATAAGTTATGAAAATCCAAAAGTTTTTGAATATTTCAAAACTTTCCCTCAAGTTTTTGAATTTGTAAAGTCTCACACACACTTTAATTCCAAACCATAGAGTTTTAAAAGTTAAAATTCAACCCTTATACTTTATAGTATTATAAGTTAATAGTATATATATATATATATATATATATATATATATATATATATATATATATATATATATATATATATATATATATAAGATCAAGTCAGTCTTACCGTTAGTAGGTCTCATTCACGAAGCTGGTCTATAAGGTTACTATCTATAAAATGGCAGTTTAATGGGTGTCCACTCTGATCACCTACCGCTTTC